TTCCTTTATAGTCTTCCCTTTTACATTTTGGCTGCATGCAAGTGCAGCAGCAGGAGCAGCAGCAGCAGCAAAAAAAAGTGCATGCAATTCAGCAGCAGCAGCAATTATCATTTGATTGTTTGTTAACAGCAAAGGAGTATAACAGCAGCAGCAGCAGCAGGTGTTGCATATAATAACGGCTGCAGCAGCAGCTGCTGCAGCTGCAGCACAAGCATCAGCAGCTGCAGCACAAGCAGCAGCTGCTGCAGCACAAGCAGCAGCAGCTGAGCTGTGCTGCTGCTGCGTTGCTACATACGTGCATGCAAATACAAATGGGTTTAGTATCTGCAGCAACAACAATAAAAATCAATAAATAAATAAATAAACAAATGAATAAATAAATAAATAAATAAATAAATAAATATATAAGTAAATAAATAAATAAATATATAAGTAAATAAATAACTAAATATATAAATAAATAAATAAATAAAATGATTATTAATAAAAAAGAGACAGTTGTCCCCTTTTTATTAATAAATAAATTATAATTAATAAATAAAAGGAGACAATTGCCTCCTTTCTTGCTGTAAGGACCAATGGTCTATTAGCTACCTGACCACTGGTGTACAATCCCTAAACCCTAAACCCTAAACACCAAACCCTAAACCCTAAACCCTAAACCCTAAACCCTAAACAAATAATATATATAAATAGAATAAAGAAAAAAGAAAAAATAATTTATTTATATTTGTTTTATTATTAATAAAAAAATATATTTATTTATATATAGATAAATGCATGCAACATAACAACAAGGGTAATAAAAAAGAAAAAAATAAATAAATATTTATTAAATAAATAAAGAAAAAAGGAAAAAAGAACAAAAAAAAGAAAAAAAAAGATAAATAATATTTTATTATTATTATTATTAACTAACCCTTATTACGTCTCCTAGGGAAAGTAGCAAAATGTAGCAAAAAGATAAACAAGGAAAGGACGAAGTTGCTGCTGCTGCTGCTGCTACTGATGCTGCTGCAGGAGATGCAGCAGCAGCAGCAGCAGCAGCAGTTTTCCTTGCGGTGTATATAAACAACGTGTTATGTAAAGAAGAAAACCCCACATGCACGCAAAAGACGTAGACTTGCTGCTGCTGCACTTGCTGCTGCTGCTGCTGCATGCATGCATGCATTAAATATAAATTAAATTGTCTTTGTATATATTCCTCTTTCTTATCTGCATGCAGAGAAAAGCGCATAAGAACCCCCCCCTCCTAAACCCTAAACCCTAAACCCTAAACCCTAAACCCCAGGGGTATAAGACTAATCATGACCTTTTTTATTTTAATTAATTAATTAATTAATTTATCTATTTTATTTTTAATGTCTTTAATTATTCTTTTATGTTATATAGCCATACCTCCCTTTATTATATATATAAGCAGCAGCAGCAGCAGCAGCAGCAGCAGCAGCAGCTAAACCCTAAACCCTAAGGAAAGAAAGGAGAGTGCTGTCTAATATATACTCAATAAATAGTTTATTTTAATGGATTTTTTAATAAAATTATAATAAATGAATGAATTATTTAAATAAATATTTAAATAATTAATAAAAATAAAGAAAAAAAGAAGCAAAAGAGCAGCAAGGGAAGAAGGAAGCTGCAGCAGCGAGTCGGCCAAGGGCGGGCAGCAGCAACAGCACCATCATCAACAGCAGCAGCAGCAGCAAGCGCTTCCGCTGCTGCTTCCTTGCATGCACGAGAGGGGTAATTTCCCTTAAAATGCAAACAATTAGATACAATAAGCAAGAAAATCAGTAAAAGAATCAAAAATTCCCCTTCTGTGGACCCCAAATACTCCAAACCCTAAACCCTAAACCCTAAACCCTAAACAACAACAGCGGCCCATTGGTCTCGCCTGTTGTCACCTCTTGAGGTGTACATACACCTCATCACTTTATCTTCTTCCTTTTGTTTTTTATTCCTTCTTTCTTCCCTTTTATCTGTTTATATTCCTCTTAAGGGTTTATAAACACTTTTTTTGGCCGTCAGAGGAACCCTAAACCCTAGCGTAAACCCTAAACCCTAGGGTTTAGCCGGTGCGACAGACAGTGCCTAAAGAGGGAAAAACAAAGAAAAACAAATAAATAAACAAAGAATTCTTCTTTATACATTGAAGAGGATACCTTCGGGTGTATATACACCTCAAAACCCTAGACAAACCCTAGGGTTTATATATATACTCACCGCAGCACACATACGTGCATGCATGCATGCGTGCATGCATGCATGCAAACCCTAACCCTAATTCCTTGCATGCATGCATTTAATACAGTCTATACAGCAGCAATTGCATGCATGCACGCATGCGTGCATGCATGCAATTCATCAACAACATCAACAAGCCCCCTTTCTTATTGCAGCTGCAAGGGGGACAATATACAGGATCGCTTCTTCTTTATAGGGTTTAGGGTTTAGGGTTTAGGGTTTAGCCGTTTTACGTATATTGGAGGTTAGGGGGAGGATGACGGCTATATTCTCTAAGGTGGGTGGTAAAGAGGAGAGGATAAATATATATATTTATCTAGGGTTTAGTGTATATATAATAATATATAAATATTAATTAATTATAAATTAATTTATTTATATGATTATTAGGGTTTAGGGTTTAGGGTTTAGGGTTTAGGGTTTATGCTTAGGTGTCTGAGCAGTACGGCGAGTTGGTCAATTTTATTATTAGACCTCCTCGTGATAAATATACAGATGATGAATTAGGTCCGTGTAGATTTACTATGGCGGGCAGACAATATAAGCGTACAGGTAAACCCTAAACCCTAAACCCTAAACCCTAAACCCTAGAACTTGATTGAGTCTTTTGTCCAAGCCCTCTGACAATTTGTTGCCAGTTTGTTGCTGCTGTGGTTGCTCCTTGCGTCGCATTCAATTTGTTTTTTTTTTTTTTTGGTGTTTGTGTAACCCTAGGGTTTAGGGTTTAGGGTTTAGGGTTTAGCATGGAGGGAGTGATTTAGGGTTTAGGGTTTAGGGTTTAGGGTTTACGATGATTTTTTCCTCAGACTTGGAGTTAATCAATAGAAGAGATATGCGCCTTCAATGCAGTCATTATGAGCCCGTATTCCCGTAAGTCCTGTCTCCTAGGGTTTTAGGGTTTAGGGTTTAGGGTTTGGGGTTTAGGGTTTAGGGTTTAGGGTTTAGGGTTTGGTGGTGTCTGCGAGTAGGGCTGGCAAGGCCAAGAAACTCCCCTGCGTGATTTACTTGCACGGCAACTGTTCGTCTCGTCTTGAAGCCAGTATGCCTCCAAACCCTAAACCCTAAACCCTAAACCCTAATTCCCGATCCTAAACCCTCACAAAGTACCTGTTCCTACACGTATGCCTGTGCAGGAAGACTATTATGCAGGTGTTCTTCCTATGGCTTCTGATTGAATCCTCTTTCTTTTATTGTTAATATTTTATGGTTTTATTAGGGTTTAGGGTTTAGGGTTTAGGGTTTTGTTTCTGTATTGGGGTGTATACGCAGTGTCAGCGCTGCCCGTGCTGCTGCCGCAGAATATAACAGTCTTCGCCTTCGACTTCTCAGGCAGTGGTAGATCCGATGGACCTTATATCTCATTGGGTAGGGTTTAGGGTTTAGGGTTTAGGGTTTAGGGTTTAGGGTTTAGGGTTTACTGCCTAGTATATAATATCTAATTATATTTTTTATCTATTCAATGTATTATCCATTATCCATAATCAATAATCCATCATGTTCATATTAAGGGTTTAGGGTTTAGGGTTTAGGGTTTAGGGTTTAGGGTTTGTGTATATTTATAGGTTGGTGGGAGCGTGACGATTTAGATACCGTTGTTGAGCATCTCCGTGCATGCAAAAGGGTTTCTGCTGTGGGGCTTTGGGGCCGCAGCATGGGGGCTGTTACTGCATTAATGCATGCGCATAGGGATCCATCTATTGGAGGAATGGTATGAATAAACCCTAAACCCTAAACCCTAAACACTAAAATATTTAATGGGCACAGACAGATACACTTTGGGGTGTATATGCAGCTAAAGGGAGGGTTATATGCATACATGCATACATGCATGCATGCATGCATGCATGCATGTATGCTTTATTATCTTGTGTTTTATTTCTTTTGTTATAAAAGGGTTTAATTGTTTTAAGGGTTTTGCCTCTTTTCGTATTTATTAGGGTTTAGGGTTTAGGGTTTAGGGTTTAGGGTTTACAACAATTTTTTTGATTTTTCTTCATACCTATTATAAAAATTATATTTTGTTATTTGTATTATATATAATAAATATAATACTTATATTTATTTATTTATTTTATTTATTTATTTATTTATTTATTTATTTATTTATATATAGGTATTAGATTCTCCTTTTGCTGCATTAAGAAGATTAGCAGAAGAATTATCTTCTTCTGTTATGCAATTTGCTGTACCCAAGTTCGTCCTCTCTATACTTCTATCATTGGTCAGCAGCAGCAGCAGCAGCAGCAGCAGCAGCAGCAGCAACACCAGCACGAGTAGCAGCACGAGTAGTAACACCACTAGTAGCAGGTGATGCAGCAGCAGCAGCAATAGCTGAATGCAGCAGCAGAGGCAGCAACACTATTAGCAGCAGAAGTAGCAGCAGCAGCAGCAGCAGCAGCAGCAGGAAAGCTAGAGGGAGTTAAAAGGGGACAGAAAGGAGCCAATAAATAAAATAAATAAATAAATAAATAAAATACATTTGCGGTGTATATGCAGGTCCGTACATCAATAACAAACAAAGCACACTTTGATATAAATCTTATCTCTCCTATTGATTGTGTAGGGGAGGCATTTATACCAGGTAATTAGGGTTTAGGGTTTAGGGTTTAGGGTTTGGGGGTTTAGGGTTTCGATTTAGTATGAAATGCGCAGTGGTCGGTTATGACAGAAAACGCAGACACTTTTTTTTTTTCTATTGGTGATGCAGCACGTATTAGGGTTTAGGGTTTAGGGTTTAGGGTTTAGGGTTTAGGGTT